AAAACAAAACAAAACAAAAAAAAACGAAAAGGGGAAGAAAACAAACAAGGAAAACGCCTGTTGGTAGATCAAGGTCTGTGTGTTGATCTTTAGGAGCGTTTTCTAGACGGGGTGCCACGCCCTGGCCCCAGCGTCCATCATTTGTCTTCCCTTGGGACCTCCTTGCTCTGCTTCCCTGCCGCTCCATTGGAAGTTAAAGTAATTTAAAAGAGCATGTACAACTAAGACTAGTTTATAGTTTACAAAGAATGTCAAGTTGCTTATCCTGTCATGAAATGGAATTTATTGTTCTTATCTGAACTTCTGGTATCTTGGAAGTGGGAAGAACTTAGATGTGCTTACACGTCCATAAAACTTAAAGAGTTAAGGGACTAGAACATGAAATTCAGTGGAAATAGATATTACTGTACTTTTTGTATGTAATTATTTTTAGTATGCATTGATGCTATTTATATGATTAACAGCAAACATATATTTTATTACATATTGTGCCACATGAACTCTTTAGGGGTTTTTAAAATGCCTTTATTGAATACAAATTGAATTTCCTATTCAATTGGTTTAGGTTGAGGTGATCAGTTTGTACTCTTTTTTTAGTCCTTTTTAAAACACTTTGGCTCATATTTTATGTTTGCTCTTTTATTATAAACCCCTTAAAATCATTTTTTTTTTAAATACAGAAATGATGACTAAAACAGTGGGCTGGGAAACTAATAACCAGATATTTTGCGGTGGTTCTTAACCTTCCTAATGCTGCGACCTTTAATACAGGTCCCCATGTTGTGGTGACACCCCAACCATAAAATTATTTTTGTTGCTATTTCATAACTATAATTTTGCTACTGTTATGAATCGGGCGACCCCTGTGAAAGGGTCGTTTGAGCCCCAAAGGGGTTGTGACCCACAGGTTGAGAACCACTGGTTTAGAGCTTGGGTTCCCAAACTTAGTTGATCGTTGGAATCTCTTGGGGATGTGAAATGAAAGATTCCTGGGCTCCATTTGCCATGTAAGCTCCATTTCCATTTAATAAGTCAGAATCTCCTGGAGAGGAGCCCAGAGATCTGTAGTTTCAACCGATCCCCAGGTGATTGCAGTGATCAGCCAAGTTTGTGTGTGAACTTAAGATTTAGAGCAGGAGAGGGAAACCTTTTTTTCTGCCAAGGGCCATTTGGAGACATCATTCTTGGACCGTACAAAATTAACAACTTTAAAATTAGCTGGCAATATTTGGTGAAACATTTAATTAACTACTTCTCTTTAATGAGGCGAGTGATGTTGGCTAGTATTGACGATTTTGAGGGCCTTCTATGCCTGAGGGTTGGCTGTTCCCGTGGCTTAGAAGAAACATCAGTTTTTTTCAATATCTAGAAGAGATTAGAGTGGCATCTTGTTACAGGAAGCGGTTTGTCCTCCTTTGTATTTTGAAAGTCCATCTTCAGCGTCCAGTAGCATTTGAATGTCAGAAGGGCTTTTGATGCCATAAAGGTAAATGAAGAGAAGTCTAGAAGTATAGTTTGATCTCTGTCTAATCCCCTGTAGCAGAGATTGTTATCAGATGCATTATTTAATCTGACTTTTCTATATGTGCAATAAAAGAAATACCCCTTTTTAATACGATTGTAAGGTTGAGATGCATATGCTGATTATTAGCCAGGTACTATTCTAGATTTTGGGAATGATAGGGATTAATAAAATCCAATCCCCAGTAAGAAAGAAGAACTGACGTGTAATTATAATAATGTGTATTGAGTGGGAGTACCAGTATGTGTAGGAAATTAGAAGTAGGTATTTTGGGAATATTTTCTGGAGATGAACATTATTAATTTGAAGGACACAAGGTGAAGTAAGATTTAGCCAATTGAAAGAATGGGGAAGGAGTAGTTGGTATCAATGGAGGCCAAGAAAATAAAAGGTTTCTAAAAGTTCATTAAAAATTCCATGATAGCTGAGAAGCAGCAAAGCCCACATGGAAGAAGCACACCAGCCTGTGATCATGAGGTATCGATAGGATCAGGTATCAGGCATCAAAAAACAAAAATTCATATCATTGTGAATGAGGGAGAGTGCAGGGTGGAGACCCAAAGCCCATCTGTAGACAACTGGACATCCCCTTACAGAAACCTTTGATGTAGGGAAGTACAAGTAACCATGGAAAGGAGAAACCTTTCAGTCCATATACGAAAGAACAAGCAATTTGTTGTCTGAATAGAAAGTACACTTGTATAAAGGTAGGAAGTGATGAGAAATGTGGTTGGAGTGGTAGACTCGATCGAGTAAGATGGCAAAAGGCCTGAATATTATGTTGACGAGTTTAGGTTTTATTCTATAGACAATGAGAAGACATTGGTTTTAAGCGTAAGTGTGACAAAATTGTTACTTGTTTTGTTTTAAAAGTAGATGTGTTTAGAACTGGAGAGATTGTAATGGAATTAGGCTAGAGGCAGAGAGGCTTCTGAGAAACATCCAGGCAATAGTTGATGAAGGTTTTGCTTTTCGGTAATGGGGAGTGGTAGAAGGGACAAAGAGACATTTTAACTTGTGAAATAAGGGAGGATAAGACCTTTGGAACTTGTTTGGTCTTGACTTTTTCCAGACATTGAATTGCTGGACCTCAGGCTTTCAGTACTTTTATTTGCAGATTCACTATATTCTGATCATTTGATCTCGATTATTTTAGTATGGTCTTTGGTGAAGGAAAATAGGAGACGCACGTGTTAGAAGCTAGGGCCAAATTTTCTAGGAGTTATTAAACATACTTCTTCAGGAAGCTTGGTTATGAAACAGAGTAGTTAATTGGTAAGTTTCTAGTGTGGAAATTCCGTTAGAAGTAAAAGTATAAGAAACTATTGTTACGTGATGGTCTTAATGGTCTCATACTTTTTCCAAAACATTTTGAATGTAACTTGAGGGTGAGTTCTCTTTAGTTATCCTCCAATTAACCTCTAACTCAGTATTGATCATCTTAAGGAAGTGTGAGGCTGAATTTATTTTTAAGTATAGAGGTTTAACTGGATTTTACAACAGGTGTTGTTCCCAAAGGTGAGTACAAAAATTAGGTTTTTGTGGTACCCCTATTTGCCAACACCGTCGGTTATTTCAGATTTTAGGGTAAGGCTTAAGAAATAACAATGTTTCAACAAATGTGAATATAAAATAATGATATAGTGTTGGGATCTTTCGTGTAGTTTTTACATGGACTAACAACTCTCTATATTCAAATAAATTTACTTTAGGATGAGACTGATAAATCTTCTTTAATAATAAACCATAAATTGTCTCGTAATGAAATGGTTGAAGTTCTTAAGAACAGCAAAATTAAAACCTCTTCAGGAAGAAAAAGATCAAATGAAAATGAACTTCAAGAAGATGGACCACCAGCAAAAAAAGGTACTACCTCAGCTGTCAGGAGGTCTTTATAACATTAGCCCCTAAACCCATAAACAGAAAATATTCCAACAGGAGGCAATTTGCTCGTCTAGGAGAAAAGTATGCGAAAGTCTAAATGGCACCAGTACTAGATTACTATTATTTAAGTTATTGCTAAGCTTCCTCTGCTCCCCCCCAAAATATTAGTAATATTATACAGGGAGGCTGGGTTTTCTAAATGTGAAACTGCTTTAGCTTAAAAAATCAGACTCTGCTACTTCCTATTTACTGGTAAATTTGGATATGTTGAAATCCATGTGCTGAGACTTACCTTTCATCATTAAAAAACCACACCCGCTGCCACTGAATTGATTTTAACTGATAGTGATCCTCTTTAGGGTTTCTGAGAGTAAACATATTTCTGCCACAGAGTAGCTGCTGGGTTTGAATTGCTGACCTTGCTGTTAAAAATGCCATGGAACCCACTGCCAGCAAGTGGGTTCTAGCTCACAGTTGGAAAGTAGTGTTTCCGAGGCTGTAAATATTTGTGGAGTAAATAGCCTCATTTTCTCTTTTTTTCCACCCCACCCTCAGGGCTAGCAGTCTACTCTGGGACCTGGCAGTTAACCACCCAAGATAAAATGATACTGCCTGTCTCCTGAGATTGTCAAGAAAGAATAAGATTGCATAATAAAGCAACAGTAAATTGGTTATTTTCAGAATTACATGACTTGAGGAATTGTATAGAGTTAGGTACCTGGTTTACAGTATGTATAATGTTTCTGTGAACTAGATGGATGAAATGGATAGGCAATAGTCACGGACCGGTTGCCATTGAGTTAATTCTGACTCAGACCTCATGTGTGAGAGTAGAGTTGTACTCCACGGGGTCTTTTCGTGGCTGAGACCTTTCAGAATTAGGCCACTGGGTAGATGTGAACCTTCACTCTGTCCATCAGCGGCCAAACTAAGGACTCCACTATGAAGACTTTGAATAGCTAGTCTTCGGTTTTCCATTGAAGAAGGGTGCGTTTGCTATCAGAGGCTAGTGGATAGGCTTGCTTTGATTTTCATGGCACTCTTTATTTCTCTGAAGGGGCTTTGGTGGCTCAGTGGTTAAAAGTGCTTGGCTACTAATCGACAGGTTGCAAGTTCTAATTAATCAGCCATTCTAAGGGAGAAAAGAGGCAATAGGCTTTCATAAGTTGTATAGCCTTGAAAACCCTCAAAGGAAGAGCTACTCTGTCCTGTAGGGTCAGAATGAGTCATAATCAACTAGATATCAGTGGATGAATACTTTCTACCAACTTGGCCAGTGCCAGAGAATAGTTGTGACTATAGGATTGATAGGTCATCTAGGTAAATAGAGAAACAAGTAACCTACGTAGTGTGGTCAGTCCTAAAGGTAGCCCATTCATGAAGAAATAGTTTATTTTAAAATTCTAGGTTTCAGGTATAGACAATTTGAGTTAAAGACAGTTTAGGTAAGGAGCAAAATAATATTTTTTAACCTAAATTCTTAACCACTTTGAATAGCTGTGTCTTGAGTATATTATTAGAGACTGTGTTGTTAGCTGCCTTCAGCTTAACCCCTCCCTCATAGTGACTGCGCTATAGGGATGACATAAGATATCAAATGAAAACTACCCATCTTCCATGATAACTTACTGCTTAAAAATCTCCAGAACAAAGTTTGACTTCTATAACTGCTAGAATAGGATCAGAAAGTTGGTATTTGCATAGAATCCATGTTAAACTTTATGAAGAACATGAATATCTGAAGCAAAATTCGGTACAAAAACAAGTTAGCTTGATTTGCATTATATTTTATGATAATACCAATTCTTGAAATATTAAGAGAACAACATGACTTGATTACAAAAGTCCTTATTGAGCTTTCAGTATTCATATTTGAGGTTGTGTGATTCAAACCTCATGTTAGTGATTCATTTGTAAGTTCTGTTGTAACTTTTAACTTGTCCACGTCTGACTCAAAAGGGTTCAGACGTTTTTCCCACTTGTCTTTGTAAACACTAAGGATACTTTTAAAGACAGTTTAAGTTATGAAAAATAATCTAGCCCTAGTATTATTATGCTTAGTTTTTTCTCATCTAGTCATTTTTACTGCTGAAGGCATATGTATGGAAATAGCATCATAAGCAGAAACTTTAGTTGAAAGAAAAGTAGAAGGCTGAGCTAGTGGAGAAACTGGGTCATGCCACTTTGGGATGACTTGTTCAGCTTTGACGAGATGCGAGCAGATAACCTGTATTTCTGATGAAGAATAATATATAGGTAGCAAATTATTTAAAAAATATGTCCAAACTTACTGTGGTCACATTTACTGTCAAAGTTAAGGGGAAATCATTTTCATTTAAAGATTTCAGAACAGCTGCAATTCTTAGAATAAACTAGACATTGTGAAGAAATAAGTTTGGAAGATGTAGCTGTGAAGATATGAAAAGCATCAAAAATAAACTCAACAGCTTTGAAGAGGCTAGAGAGACAATCAAAATAATATATTAAAAAGTTTGTCTAATGAACTCAGAAAAGTAGACTGTATTAAAAGAAAGAGCTTTAGGATCTCATATGAGATGACATAGGTACAGCTGCCCAATAGCTACTGGACAGTCAAGTGAAGGAAAACATAAGCACTGTATTTGGAAAATAAAATGTATAAGTGAAACTTATTTTTGAGTACTCACTACTGCACAGAAAAACTGGATAAATCCCAAATGAATGGGGAGATGAGATTCTCAGACTACACAGGGATTCTTTTGTGGAGCCATACACCCACTGGGGGTAGATCAGTATCTTGTGAAGGCTGGACCTTTAAATTTATGGAAAAGGCATAGGATTGAAATCTTGAGAACAAAGAATAGTCTCATGGCATTTTGTTCTTATTCTATAATTGTAGCTCAAAAACTAGTTGTAATTGGTTGTGCTTTTCCTTTATTTTGCTTGCATTTTCAACAGAGATTACTGTATAGGAAGATAGATATTTGCTTTTGAATATAGGGTTGCTAGGTTTCAGCTTAAAGAGTTTTTTATGATCTCAGAAATGTTTGCTCTTAAATTGAACAGACATTCATATGTGCATTCCATGAACTATTATCTCTCAACTAGGATGCACAAGAGCTTGTTAGAGGTTGGGACCATTTATGGGTTTGAATCTCATCTTTACATGAAGTTTGACATTTGATCTTTACACAATGATTATATGTAGCAAGGCTGTTAGATAGCAGCTTTGTCATGAAGCCAAAAACCTTTACAAAGGTGACTGTCAAAACTTCTACCAGAAATTTTCAGAAAGAATTGCCTAGTTTAATAATTCTCAAAATGTTGCAAATATAGCCATCTTAGACTTACCAAGTCAATACTTTTGTGAAGGGTCCTAGGAAATTGTTGTAATAAGGTTCTTGAATGGTTTTTCTGACTAATAAAACTTGAAAGTCGGTATTGTAAAACGTAGAAGCGAGGACTTTACACTTCTGAACATGAAGTAACAAAACATGAAGTAACACTAAAGTAACCTGGTTAGCACTAAGGATCGCCAAATCACTTCATGGAATAATAGAATTAAAAGATCATGCATCCCCCCCCCCCCCAAGAAACGTTTTGAAGCTCCCTTGCATAGCTGGTGCAGGCCACATTAAGAATTTATACCTACGTAAACCAATACTAGATTTCTGCTTGCAAAATTTAAGTTGCTGTTGTTGTTCCTGGTGCAGTGTTGTGTGTTAGAGCTGGAAAAGGAGATCATATGTGGTATAGCTAAATTAAATATTTAACATAGACTTAGTAAGGATACATAAAGATACATAAGACTTGTGGTTTAGAATCTAGTAAGTGTAATAGCTAAGTATGATCAAGCACAATACGGTAAGCATATTAATTTAATCTTCACAAATTTGAGATGGTTGGTATTACTACTGTTTCCCTTTTAAGGTGGTCTGGTCACAAGGTTAATGGTTCAAACCCACAGCTACTATTTGGGAGTAAGATGATGTGTCTGCTGCTAAAAATTTCAGTCTTAGAAACTATATAGGGCTGCTTACTATGAATTGAAATGGACTAGATGGCAATGGTGTCTTTTGTCTTTTTTTGGAGAGGGTGTATATCTGTTTTACTTTGAGGAAACAGTGATAAAGAGGATTAAGTAGTTTATGAGTAGTTAAGCAACTAGTAAAGTGCAAGACTTGAATTTATTTATTTTTGTAACCGTTCCTTATGCAGCTCTTATGCCAAAGACACCAAATTCAAAAGCAGAGTGTGGCCGCGAGAGTGTTTAATTTGTGCCTTTTTTGACACCACATACACTAGTTTCCGAAAGTGGATGGTCAGTATAAAGACTGGAAGATTTGAATTTAGACATGATTTCAAAGTCTATAATTTTAAGTTTTACATTACATGACTTCTCAGAATTTTAACTTTTCCCCCTAATTTTGCTATGGAAATTTAGATAATAATTTACAAATCACTAATTTAGTAGACTCCATTATACAACTGAATTTTTTTTCTTTTTTAAAACTCTTTTTAGAACATGGATATCAGCTTACAGCTTTTGTGTGATCATTTCTTCTTTGCTCCATGTTTACAAAGATTTGGGCTAGAAAATTTAAAGGGCATGAAAAGTTATAAAGAGGAAAATAGAAAACACTGGTAATACCACTCAGAGATAAGATTCTCCCTTTGCATATTCATTATTCATTTTTAGAAGTACTTTGAAACAGTGGACTTACGACACACAAGCTTTCCAACATGTTTTTCCTCCCTTAAAAGTGTACTTTTGTTTTTCATTAAGTTTACTGTTTCATGTTTCAGTATTTGCTCATGTGGTAATTTCTTAGTGTTATTGAAGTTTTCCAGATTAATAACCACTTTCTTATTTTTAAAAGGACCTCTATATTTTGACCCTTCTATCTCTGAAGATCACAAAATACATGAAGCTATACAAGAAAACATTTTCAAAGAAGAGGAAGACATGAGAGTTTTACAAAAGAATAATGAAGAGCTGAAGGCACATTCACTCATTATTGAGAATGAACTTAAAAATGAAAGGGAGCAAAAAGCAGAATTGAATAAACAGAATGTTAGTTTACAAGAGGAACTTTCTTCTCTAAGTGTAGAGGTCCAGCAAATTCAATCAAAATATGAAAATGCAATTTCCAAATTACATGAACAGAATGATATAAACAAAGAACAGGAGGAAAAAATTATGAAATTGTCAAAGGAGTTAGAAACTGCAAGAAAAAACATCACAAGTAACATCTCACAAATAAAATTAATGCAAACAAGAATAGATGAACTCCGGATGCTTGATTCTGGTTCTCAGCTCTCAAAAATAGATTTACTCAATCTCAGGGATCTGTCAAGTGGTCCTCAGGAGGAAAATGTGCTGAAAACACAAGTACAACACCTAAGCAATGATTATTTGGTGAATCAGCTGGTGAAAGAATCTTGTATTCAAGAATTTAGTCGGGAAAGTTCTTTCCACTCTAGTATTGAAGCCATTTGGGGTGAATGTAAAGAGATTGTGAAGACGTCGTCCCAAAAAAGCCATCAGATCCAGCAACTGGAAGAAAAAGTCGGAAAATTACAAGAAGAAATACAGGGTTATGAAAATGAAAATAATAGATTAAAAGCAGAAGAGAGGGAAAACAAAAATAAAGACGACCTAATAAAAGAAAAAGAAAGTCTTATACAACAGTTGCAAGTGGAACTGCAAGACAAAGCCATTAGTCTTAATGCTGAAATGCAGCACGTAGCTGAGGGCACAAGGGCACTGTCAGAGCTTACACAGGATATTGCTTGTTACAAAGAGAAAATACAGGACCTGGAAACGATGTTGGAGACACAGAAAAACAAGTATAAATGCTCAACCAAGTTAGAACAAGAAATTTTGGAAAAGGAATCTATCATACTAAAGCTAGAACGGAATCTAGAGGAATGCCAAGAAAATCTTCAGGATTCTATCAAAAACACCAAAGATTTAAGTGAAAGAGAAATCAGGTTGACGGAAGAAATCACCCAGTTAACGCGTTATTTGCAAGATGCGAAAAGCTCACTTCATCTAAAGGAAGAAGAACGTGAAAGCATCAAACAAGAAGCAGAAAAGTAAGCTACATATTGTTAAAATAGGCAAAGCATTCATCTCACTAATCTTTTGAGGGGGGTCATTGTCAAAACGTATGCAGCCAAAGTTATATGCACTTTAAACAAACTTTACCTTAACAGTTCGGTAGCATTGGTTATCGTCTCGTGTCACTTTTGAGCCGTGAGGTGTGGGCGTAACTTATTTTGTTAAAGTAAAGCATATGCACAAAGCTTGAACTTTGTTTTTTTTATAAATCTTTGAAGGCACAAAACGCCTGCAAATATTTATTCTTAATCACATGAACTCTCTGAAGGATACCTTCATTCATGGTTTAGGCTTTCCAAGTTTGAGAAAAGATGTAATTTTTAAAAGATTGTTACTTGTGCAGCCCTAGTTAGTTAATGGTGCAGCATCACAGAAATATAATTTGTATTTTTAAGATTGAAACAGGACCTATCTGCAAGCTCTGCTGTTAACAAGACTCTGAAAATTGATCTTCGGAGGAAAGAAGAAGATTATATTGAGCTGAAAGAGAAATTGACTGATGCCAAAAAGCAGATTGAACAAGTTCAGAAAGAGGTAGATTACTTGAAAAGTAAATTTAATACCATGAAGACTCTTTTCATGATACATTAAATTTTCTGCTAGTTCATTTGTCACCTTGAAATTGTGTTTTAAAAAGAACAAACAATATTTAAAATATTTCTTTTGTATTTGGATTATATTATTTAATAAACTTAGAAATTTCCCTCCCATAATTATCACTATTATTTCCCATGATAAAAATCTTGCTATTTCATACAGGCATTATGTTGATGGTTTTTTGAGAGTTCATAAAGAATTTGAGATTCTTAAAATAATGTAAGAAGAAAATGATATGTATTCTCTATTAGAATATGAAGACATTTTCTGATCGTTGGAAACCATATCATGTGATACATAAAATCTATAATTTTTCCTTTTTTTAAGGATAAATTTAGTTTTATTTGTAGTCTTAATTTTTCTGATGTGTAGGAAAATGACAAGTATATGAATCTCTGACGAAGCACCTATTTTTTTAAACAAAAGGTAATTTTTTTCTTTTAATATATTTTGTTTTACCATTACTTTATAGGTATGCGTAATGCGTGACGAAGAGAAATTACTGAGGAGCAAAGTTAATGAACTGGAGAAAAAGAAAACCCAGTGCTCTCAGGAGATAGATATGAAACAGCGAACCATTCAACAGCTCAGGGTAATGGCCTTGTTTTCACTGGCGGGTGAAGGACATTCCTTCGGTCTATTTTAGTGTCGAGTTACATGTGTGATGAGCCCTGGTGGCACAGTGGGTAAATGCTTGGCTGCTCACCCAGTGGGCGGTGGTTTGAACCTCCCACCTGCTCGGTGGCCGTCTGCTTCTGTAAAGATTACACCTTTGAAAATCCTATGGGACAGTTCTACTTTGTCCTACAAGGTTGCTATGAGTTAGAACGGATGACTATGAATTTGGTGTGATTTTTGGAATGAAATAGATAAGTTCTTCATGAAAAAAAACCTGCCGTAAACTTTTCTAGAATCTAAAATTAACTAAGTCCATAATGACTTGTTCTAACAGATTGAGCATGTAAAGAAAAAAGTAGGGGGTTGGTGGGGGGGGACTTTACAGTGGCAAAACCTGGCCAATACCACTGGTGCCAAGTTTTCAAGAATAATGTCATCATTAATAAGGCCTCTTGATAGGGCATATCATGTCTGGGTTATTATTTCCTAAGAATTCACATCAGCAGTCTAATCGTGAGAAAATATCCAATAAATCCAAATTGAGGAGGTACAGGCAAACCTCTTTTTGTTGTGCTTACACATTTTACAAATTGACGATGTGTGGCAGCCTACACTGAATACCATGTCTTCCAGTGTCATTTTTCTGAGCGCATGTTTCCCCTTCATGTCTCTGTATCACATGTGGGCATTTCTCACAATCTTTCAAACTCTTATAATGTTGTTGCACACGTAATAAGCTACAGCTTATTGCCATGATACTGAACATGCTGTGTCTCTGAAGCACACCTGTTCTTACTACAAAATATTTGATGAGTACACATTCAAAAGAACCAAGGTCATTCAGACAAAGAAAGTCTAAGTATCGCAGATTGGAGGGAGACGAGGGAGACGTGACTAACTGTAGTGGTGCAGAAGCAGGCTTGGCTAGGATTCTGTAACAAAAAGACACTACCTGAAAAACTGGTGAAATCCAAATAAAATCTACAGGGTAGTTCATGGTACTGTAACATTGTTACTCTTTTTTTTTTAAAATAAGTATACCCCAGTTATATAAGATGCTGACATGAGACAAAGGAGGTTATATAGAACATCTCTGTGTTGTCTTTGCAATTCTTTTGTAAACCCAGAGTTGTTTCAAAGTAGAAATTAAAAAAAGAGAAATTGAAGTTTGGTTCATTGAAAAAAAATTTGTTTTAAAGAACTAAAAATTTCTCTGTTATACACAATATTTTTTCCATTGATTAAATGAGTAAGACTACAGTTAAAATATGGATTCATTGTACAGTTAGTTAATATCCAACTTAGGTGCACTACGGTGAATTGCATGTTGTTGTTGTTGATGCATCACTAGTAGTTTGCACTCATCTAGAGTTGCAACTTGAAACAGAATCATACAGACAGTTTTTTTACTGAGTAGAAACACCAGCCCCATTCGATGATCTAGAATCTTCCCCAAGTGCATTTATTATTGCAACTATCAAAATGTCCATATTGCTCACCTTTTTATGTATTAAAATGTATCTAAGATTCTATGTAATGTTGCTAACCTCTGAAGACAAAGATTTATAAAGATATTGATAACTTTATAATATTAATTATTATAAAGTTGGGGGACTCCAAATACATGATCAACCCTCCTTGTTTCTTTGGTTCTGGGCCCTGAGAGTATATGTAGAGGGTACTTAAAATATTTAGTAAGTAAAGTAGGCAGTAACTTAGAGGTAAATTAAAAGTTGAAAGGTTTTATTTTTTACCTGCCCTTTTCTCCCAAGTGAAAAACTGAAAAGCTGGATATTGGTAGTCACGTATGTCGGAGACATATTCAGATTTATTATTGAGCCCTGTTTTTGAGTCCCATTATTAAATATTACTGTATTTTATTTCACACTTGCATTTAATGCTTATTCTTTCATTTTGTAGGAGCAGCTTAGTAATCAGAAAATGGAAGAAGCTATGCAGCAGCATGAGAAAGTGTGCAGAGGTCAGGAACAGACACATCAAGTGCTGAAATGAATGCCAATATTTGCAATAACAGTTGTTTTAACATTTTTCGTTAAAAATTTTAAAATGGGTGCCACATGAGATACATATTTGTCAGTGTGAAGCTTGATTTTAATGTGTAATTTATCAACTTAGAGTTTATTTTTGGTAAAACAATAAATAGTCAAAGCCACAATGGTGTCTTGATAATGGCCAGTAAGGTAAAGAGATCTTTAAACTTACATAATGTGTTTTTTAAAATCCATGTTGTTAGGGGCTGTCAAGTAGATTTCTACTCGTCATCAACCCTCTGTACAAGCGAATGAAACACGGGCAGTCCTGTGCCAGCTTCACATAGATACATGTGAGGCCATTGCTGTGCCCATCGGGTCATTCCATCTCGTTGAGGGCCTTCCTCACCACCGTGTCACACGTGATGCTCTTTTCTAGGGGCTGGTTTCTCTTGGTAACATGTCTAAAGTAAGAGAGCCAAGTCTCACCATCTTTACTTCCAAGGAGCACTGTCACTGAACTTCCTCCAAACCAGATTTGTTCTCCGGTAGTCTTTGATGCTTCCCATATTCCTCACTAGCACAGCAGTTAACGCAATTCTTCTGTCGTCATTACTCCTTGTCACATTTGTTCCAGCTTGCACATGCATATGAGGGAACTGAAAATGCCGTGACTTAAGTTAGGTTCCGGTTAGTCTTCAAATGACATCTTTGCTCTTTAACATTTTGTCTGGTTCAGCATCTTTACCCAGTGCAAGACTTTGTTTCAGTTCTTGACTGCTGCCTTGATGACTGTTGATTGGGGATCCAAGTAAAATGAAATCTTTAAGAACTTCAGTCTTTTCTCCACTTATCATGCTGTGGCCAGTTCTGAGGATTTTTGTGTCCTTTACATTAAGTTATGATCCATACTGAAGGCTGTAGTCTTTGATCTTCATCTCTAAGTGCTTCAGTCCTTCTTGACTTCTGGCAATCAAGGGTGTATCACCTGTAATTTCAAATTGTTCCAATATTGGTGCCATATTCATAATAAACTCAGACCATAGGAACAATTAGGGAGGTTAGCAGGTTACAATTTAGGTGAGAAATGATCAGGGTACAGTTGTTCAGTCACGACAGTCTCTTCTCCACCATGTTTGCGGTGAGACTTCTCGCTGGACCTGTCTTTGGGCCTGGCCTTTGCCCTATTTGGCAATGTTGCGAAACTCTGTAGGATTGCCAATAAATGCACACAGGGCATGTTACTGTGCTATATAACCCCCAGCCAGAGGCAGTCAGCCCCAGCTCCTTGGGTCAACAAACCTAGTGCCCCCAATTCAGCGTCTAGAAGCACCCCACTAGGCAAGCCAGCTTCCTCCCCCAAAGCACACAGCTTTACTTGCCCTGAAGTCTGGGAATTCCACCACTTTATCTCATGCTCTGGTTCTTGGTTCTGCTGCTACTGCTCTGGTGCTACTTACTTCTGTGGTGACAAAGCTGTCACCTGGATCAAGGAGGTTCAGCAGGATGAAAATCATAATTTGACCTATTAACAGTCACGACTGAATCACATTATTCTATCAGTATATTTCCTTTTACCCCCATTTTCTTTTTTGGTAGGAGTTACAAAGACTGACTAGAAGAAACATTAAATAAACCACTACACTGCATTCACTTCACATTCTTTGCTCAGCAGATAGATCAAAGAAATGTAAAAAGATGCAAGTCTGGCACACACCTTTCCTAACTTTAAACCATGCAGTATTTCCTTGTTCTGTTAGCCTGACTGCCTCATGTTCTATGTATCGATTCCCCATAAGCACAATTTAAGTGTTCTGGAATCCATAGTCTGCATTGTCAAATGTCTTTGCGTAGTTGATATCAAACAGGTAACATCTTTTTTTGATTTTCAGCTAAGAGTCATCCGATGTCATCAGTGATATCCTTTGTATTGCATTCTCTTCTGAGATCCAGCTGAACCTGCAACCATTTTTGAATGATCTTTAGCAAAATTTTTCTTTCATGTGATATTTTTGATACCATTTGATAATTTCCATGTTCCATTGGGCCTCTTTTCCGACGAATGGGCACAGATATGATTCTCTTCCAGTCAGTTGGCTAGGTAGCTGTCTTTCAAATTTCTTGGCATGGACAAGTGAATGCTTTCAGTGCTACAAAGGTTTTTAAAACATTTCACTTGATATCCTGTCAATTCCTGAATCCTTGTTTTTCAGTAATTCCTTCAGTGCATCTTGGACTTCTTCAGTACCATCAGCTTTTTATCACATGCTACCTCTTGGTGTACCTTTCATCTTGTACTATATTTTGTCCAATATTTCACTTTGGAGCGTGAGTTTTTATCTTTAGTTCTTTCTGTTTGAGATGCTGAGTATGCTTTTCCCTTTGGCTTTCTAACTCCAGGTGTTTACAGACTTCACTGTCATGCTTCACTGTTTTCTTCCACTGCCTTTTGAAATTTTGTTAATCTCTTTTTCTTTATCATTTCTTTCTGTTGCTTTAGCTACTCTTAAGTTCAAGAGCAACTTTCGGAGTCTCTTCTGACACCTGCTATTGCTTTGCTTTCTTATTGTTTTTAATGACTTTTTTGGCATGGTATATTGTGTTCTTGATGTATTCCTATAGCGTGTTTACTCTTTGGTCATTGGTGTTCAAAGTGTCAGATCTCCTTGAGATGTTCTCTAAATTCAGGTGGGATGGCTCAAGGTTTTATTTTTAGCTCTATCATGTAAATGATTTCCAGCTTTGTTTCTGTCACCAAGGCCGTATATTGTTACCACTGATAATTCTTTGTTTCCAGTTTTTACAGCCCAGTCACCACTAATTATCAATGCATCTTTATTGCATTTTGATCAATTTCAGATGGAAAAGGTTGAGGAATTCTTCAGTTTCATCATCATTGACTTTAGTGGTTGTAACATAGACTTGAATATAGTTGTATTAACTGATCTTGTAGATGTATGGGCATTATATCAGAGCATTGTAATTCAGGATTACAATGTAGTGTTCTTTTTGACAATAAGCACAACCCATTTCTCTATAATATGTCATTTCCAGCATAGAAAACCATGTAACTTTTTGATTCAAAATGACCAGACCCGTCCAGTTCAGCTATTTCCTAGGATATTAATCTTTTTGTCTTCCATTTCATTTCTCATTTTTCTAGATTTTTACTTTGCACATTCCACATTTTGGCTATATTGGTGGGTTTTTGCAACTGTTCTCATTTTGAGCTGTGCCCCATCAACAAATGAATGCCATAAAGACCTTGTTTGCACCAACCTCATTCTGAAGGTCACTCTACCTTGAAGAGGCAGCTCTTCTCCAGTCATATTTTAAGTGCCTTCTAAACAGGAAAAAAGATCGTCTTCTAGCACTAAGTCACGCAAAGTTCTGCTGTTATTAATTGGATTTTTAGTAGCTAATCTCTCAGAAATGGACTACCCATTTTTTTCTTTCTAATCCCTTCTTCCCACTGCCATCAAGTCAGTACTGAATTATAGTGACCCTCTGTGGGTTGCCAAGACTGTAACTGTTTACAGGAGTAGAAAGCCCAGTCTTTGTCTCGGAGCTGCTGGTACACCACCAGGACTCCCATTTTAAGGACTAAGGTCTCTTCTTAGCTAGTGGTTGTAACGGCAATTTGTAAGCCAAATCCATATCACTGCCCTTTTCTGTCAGTATAATTTTGTTGTATTAAAGTCATATTGATTGCTTTTATATTGCTTTTGGTAGCTTTTATATTGCAACAACTGAACTGAATAGTTCCAGCAGATGTTCAAGTATTTACTGCTGACCACTGTTGCTCAATGGAAGAAAGATGTAGCAGGCTGCTCTCGTAAAGCCTTCCAGCTTCGGGAACTCAATGGAGCAGTTCTACTCTGCTATAGAATCGCTGTGAATTAGAATCAACTAAGAGAATGTTATTTTTGTTTGGTGGGTTTAGACTTTAAATAATCTTTGCGCTTTCACTCTCATCCTTAGATCAGTACCTATATTTTGTTTCTTATTCCAGTGGCTCCTGATCCATTACATTATATGTCAAACCTGGAATATGCTCACTGATTGATTCCATTAATTACATTTTTTCTTAGCTATGTCTTTTGCATATATAATTTTTTGCTATAGATATCACCATGAATATGTCTGTATAACAGTCACATGTGTTTGTAGTGGAAGTTCTTAGGGATTGCTAAGTTACTCCCCAAAGAGTTGATAATTATGCATATTGCTCATATAATAAATGAAGCATATCAACAACACATAGTCCTGTGAAATAAGTTGGAACCGTCACCTAGTCAGTATTCATAATCTAGTGTTTCAAATGACTTGTATGTCATTTCTGTCTCCAGCTTGTCTGTGATAGCCTTTCTTTCCACTTTCCGTCCTCCAAATGTATGTTTCAGCCTTTCTTCATTGTCGCTTTTTGAGGCCATGAGAGCTCTCAGTGATGGTCTTTCCTGAATGCTTCTGTGACAGTTGGACATTCTGCAGTGGTACATCATATGTAGTTCTCTTTATGTTTTCTTTTAGGAGAAATTCTATCTACCTAAGGATCTCTGGCCACCTTCCTTATATCAGTAGCAGAAGTTATGAAAATTACAATATATAATGTTTTGTTTTGCTATAAGCTTGTTTAATGTCCATTTTGAGGGGGGCCAACTTTTGGAATTTCTATCATTAAAAGTGGCATTTTTAGCATTCTTACCTGTGATACCAGTAAGAGTTTTGATACAAATTGTCAGCAGTGAGCCCAAAGTCTGCCTAATGGTGTTACATAAGGCAACCAAGTCATCTTTAGTTATCCACTCTGGAGCTAAAATAAAAATAGACTTACTTACAAGTCATTATTGTAATTAGTTTTTAAGGCCAGAAATAATTTTGATAAAGGAAGTTGCACTGTAATTTCCAAGGAGCTGGTCTTGAAAATACTAGAAATAAAATGGCTTGAGAAATTTTCCCAAAAAGTAAGCTACTTTTTTTTTAAGTCCCAGAGTTTTGTTTATATAAACAGTTTAATTATATAGAAAATTTTAAGAACTATATGAAAAGATTTCCTTTCTCCCTGCCTTTTTGTCACCCTTCCCTTCATCCATTCATCTGTACATCAAAAATTATTTAGTGTTCCCTATATACCAGTACTATTCTGGGCCTTAAAGATAGAGCATTGAGTAAGACAGTGTCTATCAGGATGGAAATCATGTTGTATTTTTATGAATTAAAAATACCTTTTAATTTTAGAAGAACTGGAGAGAGTTGTATATTCCATTAATTTCCAAATGTTCTTTAAATTTTTAGAGCTAGATGTTAAAGAGAAAATAATTGCAGATATGCGAATGACCCTGGAAGAACAAGAACAAACGCAGGTAGAACAAGAGCAAATCCTTGAGGCTAAATTACAGGAAACTGAAAGACTAGCCACAGGTAAAACAGGACTGCTTATCTATCTCAGAATGTGCTGTTTTGTTTTTTTGTTTCAAATTTGCCTTCTGTTTTTCCTTCTCCAAAAGAGGGTAGCTGTCATCCGTGATGCTGAAGTATGTGGTGTGCTTTTGAAATCTTCTGTTGCATGTTATTTTCCACTGTGATGAAAATTGTTGTATCTAAGTAAAGAATTTAGGACATTTTAATAACTGGATACAAGCTTAGAATTTTCCCCAGGAGTAAAACTGCTCTTGTTTAATTTTGTCCAATTCTTAGCATTATCTTAAATGTTGTCTTCAGTATAAATACTCTGACCCATTGCCTTAATATCAACAGTTTGTTTATTGGGTGTGGCAAATTTTAACACATTTTTAGTAATAATAAAGAAATGTGTGGCTTGTGTAGAAAGGGCAAGAAATGTAGAAGAAGTCAATTGGCTTTGCCGTTTACTCTGAGGTTTGGGCAGAACACTGGTGCTGTCCCATTTTAATTTTATTGATTTATTAAATGTATACATTTACAACAGTATACCAGTAATGTGCTACTAGATATTGTTGAGAAAATCAGGTGAAGTGATAAATTTAAGTACTTGTTGCAAACTGTAACTGAATATTTTGTGGTTGAAACAGTGATGGTAAGTACATGTCACTTCATACCTCTTTAGCTGCTTTTATAGCTAGAACATAGGTTTATTTGGGAAATGGGGTAATTTTGTAAAATTTCCTATGTAATTAATGTTGACCTGAATTTATACTGTAAACTCCGAGCAGTGTTCAGCAGAGTCCTGAGAGATTGTTGTACTTCATATTCACTTTGACTATAGCAGAGACATTTTAAAGTGTATTGGTTGGAATAGTCTTTAGTTCATTTTGGTTTATGGTCCTCTTCTAGGCTGTGTTGATTGTTGCCTATAGTTATAGTCCATGCCACATATACTTTTACAGGGTCTGACTTTAATTTGCGCTTCTAAAAATGATTTCATTTTATGATTTCAAATCAGAATTGGAAAACTTGAAGGAAAAGTTCAAATATCTGGAAGCCAAAACTAATCAAAGTACAAATAATGAACTTGACAATAATACAGATGTGCTTAGTCAAAAGCTCAATGAGCTTCAACATGAGTTGCAGGTATGATTTCATAGATGTGTGTATATACATATATTCATCATATTCTAAATTAGAATTCAGCAGTATTTTATTTATGAGAAATATGTGTGGGAATGTTAAAATACAGAGGCAGTGAATGGATTCTCAATTTTGTATTCCATGTAAGGATAAGTCCAAAATTATGGTTAAATGACACAACATAGGGAATGTTGGTAAATAGATTTTTTTTTAAGGCCTTTGATAGTAACTTGTTCTATTTATGCATACAGGAATCTCAACAGAAATATAATGCTGATAGAAAGAAATGGGTAGAAGAAAAAATGATGCTTATCACCCAAACAAAAGAAGCTGAGAACTTACGAAATAAAGAGATGAAAAGACATGCTGAAGACAGAGAACGCTGTTCAAAGCAGCAGAAGGAAGTGGTGGGTAGCAATCAGAACGCCCATGTGTTTCGCCTGCTTTGGTTGGTTTGTTAACTGTGTTTCTAGGGTTCTTCCAGTTCTCTACACGGATGCCTTTGTTTCCTTAAACACAGCTGTTTATCATTACTGGGTTTTTTTCCGGCCCCAATATATCTTTTTAATTTTCTGCTACTTGTATCGGGTTTTTTGTTTGTTTCTTAATTGTAGAAATGTATGTAACAAACCTTTGAGAACTCAGCAGTGTTTTGCATGTACAGTTCAGTGACATCAGCGCCACTGATCATGTTGTATCACCAAAACTCAGTGCCCCTGGGTTCACGTGAATGGGATCATAGAATAGCTGCCCATTTGTAACTGATGAATGTTTGTTTTCAAAGTAGTCCTCCTAGGGGTCCAGTTCATATGTGCACCAGTTTATTCCAAACTAAATGTGTTTCAGCATGTCTCTGACCAGGGGCTGGCTGCAGATAAGTCCTCCTGGTAATAGACTATTTGCTTTAGTCTCACTTGGTGTCTTCAGAAAGAGGCCAGTCAAAAAAGTCGTTTCTATTGGGTTCTGCTGGGCCAGTTAAATTCAAAGCAGAAAGGTCAGCTCAGAAGGCTGTGTGACAATTTTCTGGGATCCCCAAGGGAAATTTTGATAGATTTTCTGCAAGGACACCGTATTATCACAAAGCCTTATTAGGAAGTGTTTTAAAGAAAATGGAAAGGTGCACTGGTGAGAAAAAGCCCAGGGAAGTTGTACCAAGTTATTTTTTTCTATGGCAATGCAGCTGCTCATTCTCCAGTGGTCAACAAGACCCCTCTTCCCAAGAATTTTGTTGCTAAACCTGACCCCATCCACCTACCAACCCTGATCCTGCCCTTCATACTTCTCTTTGTTTCTCAAACTCATTTTTTAAAAAAAACATCATTGAGTCTCTTGCAGTTGCCCAAACTGTTGTTTTGACATGGTGTATATTGAAGAGCACAGAATTGTTTCGGGGAATGGTGAGAAAGATGGAAACATCGCCTTGTGGTGTGTATAGATTTAGATAGAGGATATGCTCAGAAATAAGCTTCCCAGTTAGATATTTTTGGTTAAAATTGGTGGGAGGACACGTGGCTTAGAGGATCACCATTTGACCACCTCTGACTTCGCGCAAGGGGGAAAAAGAATTAAACTCATTATTAGCCCAAGGCTGGTTTCTATGAGGCAGATGGTAGTTATTTCTCCAACCTTAACAATTCCGATACTGAACATCCCCCCCAACAGCACTGTTTCGCTGGCTCAGTACTTCACTGCAGTGGCCAAATAGGACTCACAGACAATACCCACACTTTGGGGCTTATTAGGGAAGTTAGCAAATTACAAGCCAGGTTCCAAAATGCTCAGGACATAGTCCTTGGTATCAACAGGCTCTTCTCTGCCGTGCACAATAGCAGGCCTTTCTCTTTTCAGGATACTTGCCCTTACTTCTGTCCTGCTCTGGCAATGCCAAGTTCTCTTAACACTCCTGATAAATATGCAATGTCCATAATACTATGAGTCACAGCCTGAAAGGCTAGCTCCCTAAGTCAGCAAATCTAGCTTCTCCATGAGTCTGTAGGTCCCTTACTCTGCAAAAAAGCTTCCTGTCCAATGGCACTTAGTGTTTCTGCCCTGTGAGCTCAACAGCCCACTCCCTACTCTTGGTTCACTTGCTGCTCCTTTGCCACTTCTCTTGTGGTACAACTCTCTATCTCCTGTATTGAGGAAGTTCAATGCAAAAGGACCTTAGGGCCCAAAAGACAGGTTCTACTTCCAACTTTTCTCTCTTGGTGTAGTGAGATAACTCCCCTTCCTGCTTCTAGGTGGTTTGTTTCATACTCAGTGGGAAGGCAAGATTAACCCATTCCCATTTTAGAGTGACAGTTTTTATATAATTAACCTTGTTAAGACTCATAATCTATTGCATCTGCCCCCACATTGTCTTACCCTAACCCATCAGGAAAAGAGGAAACACACCTAGTCTACACGGTCTCACTCAGTTGTTTGGTGGGACTTACAAAGACTGTGACTAAACTTACCATATTAAGTCAAGTACTGTGCCACTAAAAAGGTGTTACACATTCTTAGCAGTACTTTTTGTAGACTTCTCATAGGATGATGTTTCTTTTTATGGCTGAGTAATAATAGTCCAGTGTACTTGTAGTCCACATTTTGTCTGTCCGTCTGTTGGTAATTATTGTACATACTCTTGTAATGAACAGTGGGTGTCTCAATCCCAATTTATCTAGAAGTTTTCTACTTTTCCTCTTAACTTTTTAAACACCTTTTAGTAAATTATGAAAATGCCTACCTCCTTAATATCTGCATACTGATATCTTAATATCTGCATAATAGCTTATAAATCTCTTCTTTTTGAGTGCTAACAGGTGTTCCCTACATTTTAAAACTTTTGGCCTTTTTTTTTTTAACCGTTTTCGTTTTTTAAAAGTTTTATTAAACTTTCTGTCTTTTGAACTATTCTAACATTACATGTGTACGTATTTTACCTCATAAACCGATTTGCGGTGATCTATTTGTCTTAAGTCCATTAAATTGTTTCCAGAAGGTCATATTGGTAGAAACAGCTAAAAACTATGTTTATTGAAATTAACAGCTAGCATGCATGATTTTAAAATCAAGTGAATGGGGAGTAACTACAAAATATGTCCATTTAGTGTATCTAAATATATTGTGTTATTTTGTTTGACACGTATTATTGCAGATTTTGCTGCAATTTGGTGCGTGTATTAAGTATCTAAACCTTGGATTCATAATGTTTCAAACTGCAGCATTGTGTCTATTTCTTGTCTAGGAAAAGCTTACAACACAACTGGCAGAGAAAGATACTGACCTTCAGAAGTGGCGAGAGGAACGAGATCAACTGGTGGCAACTTTAGAAATGCAGCTGAGAGCACTGATCTCTAGTACTGTGGAGAAAGACCATGAAATTGAACGATTGAGAAAGATTGTATCAGCGCCCTCTAAAATGGTTAGCTGAATCTTGTTTGTGTGTGTCTTTTTTATTAGACATAAAAGATTTTGAAAAATATTTTTTTAATGTAAAAACAATTTTTTAAGATCATTTTTTGGGGGGCTCGTACAACTCTCATCACAATCCATATATACATCAATTGTATAAAGCACGTTTGTACATTCGTTACCCTCATCATTCTCAAAACATTTACTCTCCACTTAAGCCCTTGGCATCAACTCCTCATTTTCCCCCTCCCTCCTGAACTCTTCATAACTTATAAATTATTATTTTGTGTTATCTTACACTGTGCAACATCTCCCTTCACCCACTTTTCTGTTGCCCCTCCACCAGGGAGGATGTGATATGTAGATCTTTTTAATTGGTTAATTTATCTGTCTTAAAGCCAAAATCTGAATTTCCTAAGAGACTACTGAGATAGGGTAGCAGTAGAACACTCAATTCCTGAGAAAGTGGCATATGAGAGCAACAGAGGGAACAAGAAAAGACTTCCTCATTTCTGTGGCCTTTCCACTTCAAGGTATGGGTGCATTCCAAGAAACGTGCAGCTTTACAAAACTTTTTTTATCCAAAGGATTCTTGGCCTTTAAATCCCAATTCAGTACGGGTGTAGACCATATCATTTAACCTTTTTTTCATCTGTATTTCCTCTTCTGGAAAGTAGGAATAATAATTTTACAAGTATTGACTCAGTGGCAGTGAAAGTAAACTGAAAATGTATATAAATTGAAAGTAATCTTTTAATTCCTACCTAGGTATATATCTGAATCTAAAGATGTTAGAGAGGAGGAAATATGTCATTTAAGGATATGAATTTCACAGTTTATTCCATAAAATCTTGATTTTTCTACGCTGTAAAATATTTTGATATATTTTTAACCACAATGACTTACTGCTTTAATACATCCTTACTTTAGGAAAAACCAGATGTGGAAATCAAGTCCATACATATTAGTCCAATGGAGCCTGGTGAGGTTGAAACGGAAACTCAACTACCAAGTCTTCAAAATTTAACAAATGAAGCTGAGGTGAGTATTTGTTAATACAATCTACTTTGATAATAATCATATTTTGCATGTACTTTGCTGCACAAGTGGCTAAGTATGAATTTGGCTGGGTGAACTAAAATTACAGGCTCTTGAGGAGAAGAAAACATTTCCAGAAAAAGTAGTCCCCAATTAACCTCCTCAAAAAACAAAGCATATGCTAATTAAAAAAAAATTTTTTTTTTTTACTTGGTGGTGAGAAATAGGAAGTTTCACAAAAGATGAAATAAGCAAAACAAAACCCACTGCTAGTGAGTCTGTCCCAGCTCCTAGCAACCTTATAGATCAGGGCATAGCTGCTTCACAGGGAGCCCAAGGCTGTGAGTGCAGGAAAGCAGGCCACCTCATCTATAAAGGTCCCAAGGGAGTGGCTGATAGGTCTCAATGGCTAACCTCTGTTCCAAAGCCCATGTTAAATCCAATGCACCCCCTAGGATCCTTACGGATGAAATAGGAGTGATTATTTGATGTCATAAGTAGTTTCTTAATGAAACAGTTAATTAAATAGTGGAGCTTTTTGTTTTGGTTTGAAATTTTAATTATGGTTGGGTGCTGTTGCGTTAATTATTCTCACGTAGTGGCCCAGTGGGACAGTAGAATTGCCCTGTAGATAAGCATCTTTCCTAGATTGGGTAATCTAGGAAAACATCAGGAGAGGCATGACTATAACAAAGTTTTAAAAAAGCACATTTTAAGGCTGGTTTTGGGTCTTAAGCCAGCCATCTGCCTCAGATGTCTGCTTCTTGCCAGAGTGGTGGTAAAATGTAACCATGCTCAGTGGATCAGCTAGTTCAAAGACAAGTCTTAACTCTTTTTAACTGTGATAAATGGATCCAAGGTTTTATTCCTTCTAATTTGGCTACTCGTGAATTGATAAGGAGGACTAAGTTTAGTCCCACCCAATGAAGGTCCAATTTACCTTTTATTTTTGCCTATTCTAATATCCCACCCCCACCCCTTCCCTTGGATGATGTTGGGCAAACTTCAGGGATCTGTGTCTGTGTGACAAAGGGTTCTCTAGCCTATAACATGTGTTCTGTAGAATATTGGATCAAAGACTGGTAGTTCTTCAGTAATTCAAGTTGAACATGTTATGGTCAGCAATGACAATGTAAGGAATGGCTGTAGGTTTCCAAGTAGCTAGTTTATGAGGTTCAAATGATGTAGACCTCAGATTTTAAGACTTTAGGACAAAGTTTACATTTTCACAAAGCTTTGTTATTTGGGACCTTATTCCATTGGTTCTTTGAACTAGACCTGAAGGGAGAGAGGGATAGGGACATTGTAGATTTTGATAAAGAGGAAAAGTTGACACAGTTCTTCTATGATTGTTTGGTGAAATGACGCCTCTGGTGATTCCAAAGAGTTTTTGGTATTTCCCAGGTGGGTATGATGTTTTCATTGAGTTCTTTGCTATGTGAAGGTTACTATATGTGACAGCAGGGGAAGAGTTCTACCCAATGTGAAAAATCTGCAAATCATTACTTATCCATATTTGTTTTTGAATAAAATCTGACTGACATTCAAGTGTAGTCCTAGAAGACAGAGAGTATTGCCCCGGACAGGGGGGAAGGGGGTATCACCCAGGACCCTAAGGTGCTTGCTAGGATTGCAGTGAGTACACATAGGGCAATGGGTGGTAACCTGTTTAGCCATGAAAAACTTTCTTCATGAATAATTTAAAACATATATATCCTTTCCTTTGTGGGAAACTTCATGCTAGACTGACAACATTCAAGGAATTGGTAAGTTTTCTTGCTCAGACCCTCTCCACAATTTAGTGACAGGATCTTGGTAACAGCTTACCTTTTTCATGCTCAAAATTTGTCCATTTGGATTAACTGTTAGGTGCAACCAGGAACAGAATTTCATAGGAAGGGAGCTTGTGGCAGAACGATGTGACGTAGATAATTAAGGCAGACAAGAACAGGGCAGAAGGGCATCTAAAAAAACGTGTCCCAGCAAACATATCTGCTGTGATTTCCACTAGTTTGGAAGTAGCTGCCACAGTCCTTGGGCAATAAGATATCCCCTGGTTACAGGGGCAAACTGGGCTATCATAACCAACAGGCTCATCAAGTAACCTATCTTGCATGTTTTTGAGTTTGTGTGCTAAAAGTATTTGCAGATCCATTCTGTAAAAATAAGGAAAAAATATCTGGATGGCAATTAGGGAAGTGGACATGCTCATTGGAGTTTCATTTAATTGAACTACAGCCTCTTGATAGTCTGGTGCAATTTTTAATAAGCCCAGATCAGAAACACGGCCTTGCTTGTTGAATGTTTTGAGGACTTGAAGCCCTTGCTGCTGAAGATCAAAGATTTCAGCCTTCAGTATGCATTACACCTCAAGATAAAATAAAAAATTCTCACAGCTGTACCCATAAGCACCATCATGATAAACAAAGATGGAAGTTACTGGACATTTCATTTTGTCTGGATCCACAGTCATCTCTTGAAAGCAGCAATCAAAAAATTAAATACTGCACTGGGCTAATCCACAAAATACCTCTTTAAAGTGTCAAGAAGCAAAGATACCACTTTGGGGGTTAGGTGTGCCTGATCCAAGTCACGGAATTGTCACTCACTTTGTATGCTTGGGAAAGCTAGGCTGTGAATAAGGAAGACTAAAGAAAAATGGATGCATTTGAATTAGGTTGTTGGTGAAGAATATTAAATAATATCGTGGACTGCCAGAAGAAACAAATCTTTATTGGAAAAAGTACTCCTAGAATTCCTCTTAGAAGTAAAGGTGGTGAGACATTTTCCCATGTACTTTGGACACTTTTCCGGAGGGACCAATCGTTGGTAACGTAGAGGTTCATCCAGAAAGAGGATGGCCTTCTTTAAGTTGAAATGACACAGTGGTTGTAAATATAGGCCCAAACAGTAGGAACTTTTTATTGTGATTTAGGTGAAAGCTTACAGAGCAGATTACCATCAGTTTTACATTAAAGAAATTAATACCCATTTTGTTTCAACGCTTCCATTTCATTCCTCTCAGTGTATCATCTTTTACCCTTTCATCCCTGTTTCCATTTCTCCTCCTTGCCCAACCCTCTGTCCTTAGGTAAATGCTGCTCTTTTGATCTTAAATGATTGATTTTCTTAACATGAGGATGAATTTAGTTCCAGACAAAGGGTGTCTGACAGCCAAAGTTTTGGCAGTCCTAGTCTCTCTCCAACCAAAAGCTCAATCCCTTTTATGAATTTGAGTTCCGTTCCACATTTTTCTTCCACTCTTTTTTTTTTTTTTTTTTTACATTTTATTAGGGGCTCATACAACTGTTATCCCAATCCATACACACATCAATTGTGTAAAGCGTATTTGTACATCATTTCTCAAAACATTTTC